CTGTCGGTCTGTAAGAGTACTGGTCCTGTCATATGCAATATATGTCTGTCTGTAAGAGTATCGGTCCTGTTATGTGCAATATATGTCTGTCTGTCTGTCTCTCTGTGTGTCTGTAAGAGTACTGGTCCTGTTATGTGCAATATATGTCGGTCTGTAAGAGTATCGGTCCTGTTGTGTGCAATAAATGTCTGTCTGTCTGTCTGTCTGTCTGTCAGAGTACTGGTGCTGTCATATGCAATATATGTCTGTCTGTACGAGTATCGGTCCTGTTATGTGCAATATATGTCTGTCTGTCTGTGTGTCTGTAAGAGTACTGGTCCTGTTATGTGCAATATATGTCTGTCTGTAAGAGTACTGGTCCTGTTATGTGCAATATATGTCTGTCTGTCTGTAAGAGTACTGGTCCTGTCATATGTAATATATGTCTGTCTGTACGAGTATCGGTCCTGTTATGTGCAACATATGTCTGTCTGTCTGTCTGTCTGTCTGTGTGTCCGTAAGAGTACTGGTCCTGTTATGTGCAACATATGTCTGTCTGTAAGAGTACTGGTCCTGTTATGTGCAATATATGTCTGTCTGTAAGAGTATCGGTCCTGTTATGTGCAATATATGTCTGTCTGTCTGTCTGTCGTGTCTGTAAGAGTACTGGTCCTGTCATATGCAATATATGTCTGTCTGTAAGAGTATCGGTCCTGTTATGTGCAATATATGTCTGTCTGTCTGTCTCTCTGTGTGTCTGTAAGAGTACTGGTCCTGTTATGCAATATATGTCTGCAATATATGTCAATATATGTCTGTAAGAGTATCGGTCCTGTTATGTGCAATATATGTCTGTCTGTCTGTCTGTGTGTCTGTAAGAGTACTGGTCCTGTTATGTGCAATATATGTCTGTCTGTAAGAGTATCGGTCCTGTTATGTGCAATATATGTCTGTCTGTAAGAGTACTGGTCCTGTTATGTGCAATATATGTCTGTCTGTAAGAGTACTGGTCCTGTTATGTCCTGTATATGTCTGTCAATATCGGTCCTGTATGTCTGTCTGTCTGTCTGTGTCTGTAAGAGTACTGGTCCTGTCATATGCAATATATGTCTGTCTGTAAGAGTATCGGTCCTGTTATGTGCAATATATGTCTGTCTGTCTGTCTCTGTGTGTCTGTAAGAGTACTGGTCCTGTTATGTGCAATATATGTCGGTCTGTAAGAGTATCGGTCCTGTTATGTGCAATATATGTCTGTCTGTCTGTCTCTCTGTGTGTCTGTAAGAGTACTGGTCCTGTTATGTGCAATATATGTCGGTCTGTAAGAGTATCGGTCCTGTTATGTGCAATATATGTCTGTCTGTAAGAGTATCGGTCCTGTTATGTGCAATATATGTCTGTCTCTGTCTGTCTGTAAGAGTACTGGTCCTGTCATATGCAATATATGTCTGTCTGTAAGAGTATCGGTCCTGTTATGTGCAATATATGTCTGTCTGTCTGTCTGTGTGTCTGTAAGAGTACTGGTCCTGTTATGTGCAATATATGTCTGTCTGTAAGAGTACTGGTCCTGTTATGTGCAATATATGTCTGTCTGTCTGTCTGTCTGTAAGAGTACTGGTCCTGTCATATGCAATATATGTCTGTCTGTAAGAGTATCGGTCCTGTTATGTGCAATATATGTCTGTCTGTCTGTCTGTGTGTCTGTAAGAGTACTGGTCCTGTTATGTGCAATATATGTCTGTCTGTAAGAGTACTGGTCCTGTTATGTGCAATATATGTCTGTCTGTAAGAGTATCGGTCCTGTTATGTGCAATATATGTCTGTCTGTCTGTGTGTCTGTAAGAGTACTGGTCCTGTCATATGTGCAATATATGTCTGTCTGTAAGAGTATCGGTCCTGTTATGTGCAATATATGTCTGTCTGTCTGTCTGTGTGTCTGTAAGAGTACTGGTCCTGTTATGTGCAATATATGTCTGTCTGTAAGAGTATTGGTCCTGTTATGTGCAATATATGTCTGTCTGTCTGTCTGTAAGAGTACTGGTCCTGTCATATGCAATATATGTCTGTCTGTAAGAGTATCGGTCCTGTTATGTGCAATATATGTCTGTCTGTCTGTCTGTCTGTGTGTCTGTAAGAGTACTGGTCCTGTTATGTGCAATATATGTCGGTCTGTAAGAGTATCGGTCCTGTTATGTGCAATATATGTCTGTCTGTCTGTCTCTCTGTGTGTCTGTAAGAGTACTGGTCCTGTTATGTGCAATATATGTCGGTCTGTTTGAGTGTCTGTCTGTATGTGTATATGTATGCAATATATGTCTGTCTGTAAGAGTATCGGTCCTGTTATGTGCAATATATGTCTGTCTGTCTGTCTGTCGGTCTGTAAGAGTACTGGTCCTGTCATATGCAATATATGTCTGTCTGTAAGAGTATCGGTCCTGTTATGTGCAATATATGTCTGTCTGTCTGTCTCTCTGTGTGTCTGTAAGAGTACTGGTCCTGTTATGTGCAATATATGTCTGTCTGTAAGAGCACTGGTCCTGTTATGTGCAATATATGTCTGTCTGTAAGAGTATCGGTCCTGTTATGTGCAATATATGTCTGTCTGTCTGTCTGTGTGTCTGTAAGAGTACTGGTCCTGTCATATGCAATATATGTCTGTCTGTAAGAGTATCGGTCCTGTTATGTGCAATATATGTCTGTCTGTCTGTCTGTGTGTCTGTAAGAGTACTGGTCCTGTTATGTGCAATATATGTCTGTCTGTAAGAGTACTGGTCCTGTTATGTGCAATATATATCGGTCTGTAAGAGTATCGGTCCTGTTATGTGCAATATATGTCTGTCTGTTTGTGTGTCTGTCTGTGTGTCTGTAAGATTACTGGTTCCGTTATATGCAATGTCTGTCTGTCTGTAGAAATACACGTCGTGTTATGTGCAATATATGTCTGACAGGGAATAAACAACACGATCGGGTAGATGACAAAGGTAACAGACAATAAAGAACACCATCGGATAGATGACATAGATAACAGGTAATAAACAACAACATCGGGTAGATGACATAGATAGCGGACAACAAACACTATCGGGTAGATGACGTAGATAACATGCAATAAACAACACCATCGGGAAGATGACTTAGATTTTAGACAAAATACAACACTATCGGGTAGATGACGTAGATAACAGACAATAAACAACGCCATCGGGTGATGATAATGTCCAGCACCACAGGGTTGATAGCAGACAATAACAGGTGCCATCAGGTAGAGTCCTTACAATCAAAAACACCATCGATATATGACTAACAATCAATAAAACCATTGAGTCGATGGCAATTTGCAATACCGTAGTATAAGATGAATGACATTCCACACCATTTTGTAGGCAACAGACAATCAACAACTTCATCGGGTAGATGGCGGACCAGACAACGGGTAGATGACAGACAATGAACAGAGTTACAGATCCTACCAACCTGTTCCATTGTGACGCGATAATCGTAGATTGCAGGGGTTTAGTTCTAACCTGGTTCAACATCGATCAGTATTATACACTGATAAACATTTTTATGTGACATGTTTTATCTTTCAGCGTGGCTTCAATTTAAATTTAGAAGGTAAATGTAGTGTTTCCAGTGATCTTTTCGGTATATGTAAGTTACATATAACATATACATATACCTATATACGCTAACATAATCAGTTCAAAGGGTGAGTGAGTGAGGTGTTTTTTTGTTCAAAGTATAATAACGTATTATCAGTATGGCTTGAGCACACATTTGATGCCCAACTTTCTAATATAAACCTTTTTTTTTGATCACATATCGAACACCAAAGAATCATCTACTGTCAAATACAAGAGATCATTCATCGTAATCCATCCTAGACGTCTATGGTCTTCCTATCGTCTTCTACACAGGAATCCCGTTACACCGACGCAGTAGATGGTGTATTTGTAGATTAATGCAACACAATAGATCCCTTGATATTTCTGGTTGGATGCAACTCGGCGTAAATGAGATATGTTCTGTGGAGTCCAGTTATCTTGAACTATCTGGGGATTTGTGGCATAGACTAGATATATGCCTGTCGACAAAGGTGTATAATAATAAATTATCGTTTGAATGTGACGAAGACACTGAACTTGATATTGTGCTTTCGACTGACAATGTGAACTTGAACATGATAACCAGGTTTTGGTCATTCTACCACGACTTCACTAAATACTGGATTGTGGTTGGTTAATTAAGTCATTGAGAGGTATATGATCACGTTATATACCTCTGACTTTCCAACACAGTATGTATTTTTTAAAATCTTAATAACGCGTTTATGGTAGAATGGAGATAAACATGCTGCGCGTCCGGTTTTAAATCAAATTTAGAGCTATTATAATTTCGTTATATACCTCTGATGTTCCAACATAGTATGTTTATCTCCTCAGTATAAGTATGTTTTGGACGGGTGATTCATTATCAGAATACCTAAAAGTTACCTATTGTGCAATATCTGCATTGTGTACATGTGCCATGCCATGTATGTGAAAATGTGTTACCATTTCTGGTCTATTGTGCATTATTTCGAAACACACCATGGCATATCCAGATCAGGGAAAATAATCGGATACAATAGCGGATCCTCATTAAAGGACACAATGCATAAAGGGCGCACTGCGACGTCTCAAACCAAAGCTTTGTTCATTTTCCGTTGAAGTATAGCAGTGCGTACAACTTAGTCCGAGTTAGGTACTAGGATCGGGTGAACAGGCGTGTCGAAGCCACGACGACGTGGAGCTCTGTTCTGTCAGAATCAATGTTTCTTAAAAACACATATTGCTGAATATTGCCGAGTTAACCAGCAAACAAAACTAAGTTGTCAATAGCTCGAGATTCAGATAAATAATAAATATAAGCCAGTATGAATGAAGTTTGTGTTGTTCATTGTGCAGACATTGTATGTACACGTAAAACAACTCGAGACATAAGCAATGATGTTTATAGTTCTTCAAAATAACACAACCATTAAGAACTTTGCACAATATTTTATTATTTTTATTATTTTCGTTTTTGAAAACTGACACAGATGTCATGATGAATACTATCTACTGATATTGTATCCATATAACACACTCCCACAAGAATAGAAAAATAACGTGTCTAGTATCGTATCTGTTTATAACAGTATACTCTAAATATCACACAGGGTTTGGGATATTACGGAACCTGCTTACTTCAAAGTTGCAGGTTAGTAAGCATTCCACGAACGTTCATTGGGCAGGTATTTCCAGAGTTAATCTGCTGTTGCTATTGAGAATACAGTGAAAGCCCTTATCAATCTCTCCGTGCACCTTTAACTGCGGCTCCCTTCGAACAAATACCGTCAATACATGCATAGGGACGTTGTTTCGATAACGTATTGTAGGTAAACGTGACTACTTTAATGCGAGCGCCACAGTCTGGTATGAAGGCTTTGCGCTGTGTGTGTGAACAAAAAATTCAGTTAATCAATTCGCGTTCGCAGAAGGTATCACTTCAAAAGTGCAGCATTGCAGCCTGAAATCTGACATTTCCAACACGATGTATAGTTGGGTGTCGCGTTACCACCATCAGCCAGCCAGTGCCATCAAGCCTTGTCACTCCTACAAATGTCACAGCTTTCCTCTAAGCCATCTCGGAGTTACAGCGAGATCAATCATTATAACATCACAGCGTCTTTATACTGCACCACTTCACAAAGGCTCCGAACCAACCTGGCTCATATTTGATAAAATGCATCGTCTACCCTTGGGGGGAGGGTAAATAGTAATGTGCCTAGTGTCACATGATTTTGCACCCATGCACATGCTTTTTCTTTTTGTCGGACGTTGCCATGACACAGCTGCACACACTATAGTTCCTCTGCAGCTGTTTGCGCGTGCTGCCCTGGGAACACAGTGACCTTGAACTATGACTCCTCCTTGTTTTCCTCGGTTGACCATCCTGAACCTCTTCTTGTTGGACCTTCTTGAGAAGCAATACATCAAACAAGCAATCAACGTTCAGGTTACATTTGGCACTGGACTCCACGTAAGAACAACCCATTTCATCCCGGGCTAGTTTCGTGGCGGTCTCGGTTGACACCTTCCTTGTCGTGTCGCAGTCCAACTTGTTGCCAACGAGGACGACAGGGACATTCACTTGACCTGCAATAGAAATTAGAATGGCAACTGTTTAGCATCAGTTTGTACCTTAACAACAATGAGTGGATGGATTGTACGTCGCTTTCAGCAGTATTCCAGCAATGTCACGGAGTAGGAAGTATGAGTCAGTGAGTGAGTTTAGTTTTACGCCGCACTCAGCAATATGCCGGCTATATGGCGGCGGTCTGTAGATAATCGAGTCAACAAACAGTGATCAACAGCATCAGCATACGATTATATGTGTCAACCACGTGAGCGAGCCTGACCACCCGATCCCGTTAGTCGCCTCTTACGACAAGCATGGGTTACTGAAGAGGAAGTATGAAGCGGGCTGACTGTTCACAAGGTTCTATTATCTGTTGTGTGCAACCACAGACTTACATCATGGAACAACAGTTCAAACAGAAACTCTAATAACATTTATTAACATTTACAACACACAAATACACGTCACACACGTGTGTGTGTGTGTGTGTGTGTGTGTGTGTGTGTGTATGCGTGTGTATGTGTGCGTTCATGCATTATTTCTCAGCAAATTGATAGCAACTGTATAGTTGATTGATAGAATTGATAGATTTGTATCGTATGTCAAAGTAATGACGCATTTGTTATGATCTCTAAACAAAATCGCATAATACACCATTGTGAGGCTGCTTGCTACGCCCACCTTTGATGGAGAAGATGAGCCTGCAGAGGCTGAGGGCTGATTGGAATGAATGTTCGTCATTTACAGCATAGACGACAACAAAGGCATTTCCATGCTCGATTCTCAACCTTCTCATTGCCGGGAAGTCGGATTTCCCTGCCGTGTCAAGAATCTCTATGTTGGCATAGTTACCAGCTGAAACAGAAACCATAAATTTGTAATACATTGCGGAGAGAGAGTGTACATCAAAGCGATTAAAAATTTAAAATCTTGCAGGCTATGTGTAAACATGCTTTTGTGACAACCTGAGATTTCTGACATGAAGAATATACATCACCTTCGAATGATATTTTGCCCTCCTTAATGAATAACAAATGTACTTTTAGTTCATAAAGGGTGTATGCAGATTACTGTATAACACATGGCATTTATAGAACATTGCATAATGGTTTAACAGACGTATTTGTAACAATTTCGCAACAATCAAAACACAGCTCCCTATTAGTATATGTATGCAACAGTGCTATTATTGAAACGACAATAATGTGTTGGTTGTTTCACTTCAATTCCAGCGATCTGTGTCAAGTGTTTTCACTTAACTATTGGGTAACTATTGCACATAACATGCACATACATACTGTATATATTATGTCATTTAATGTTTAAGAACAACAGTTTATCTACAAATGAGCTTGACTTGCTTGCTAAACCAAATCAGAGAAGCACTTCACGAAAAAAACAGTCGATTGTATGACATAACAGCTAGTTGCGTAAGGTCAGAAGAGGAGAATGTTATTTCCACTAACCTGGGAGACGCACCATCCTTCTGTAGCTTTCCTCCACTGTAGGACGATAGTCATCGGTGAAGGAACCTTCCATGAACTGGTGAATGAGTGAGGACTTGCCAACCTTTTCTGATCCAAGGAAGATGATTCTACAGTCCTTCATCACGGCCAGTGTCTGTGTGTAACAGTATTGATGCTGGAGCCGCCCGGATTATGCAGCCTCTCCTCTGCGCTTACCAAGATGTGGATTCCACGCCGCCGCCGCCGCCAAGGTTTATATATAACCAGGCTGATTCAAGTGTAGCTGTTGTACAAGGCGGAGCCTCGTGCTTGTGTTTGTATCCAGTTTGTATTGCGGGGGTTTAGTACAACAACATTGACCCGTTACCAAGTTTCAGTTTATACACGACGTTTTGTTCATTAAATTTAGGGTTTAGGTCCTTATATATATATGAATATTTATAAATACTTTAAGGCACTTTCCATGTATTCCAAATGTAACTGATATATTCAACAAACCTACTCTGCGTAAACTTTTGAACGCTTTCTGAAAGTCGATAAAAGACAAATATTCTCTTTCTGCGTACTTAAAGCAGTTCCCTAAATACACGCAGATTGAAAATATGATCTGTTCTGGAGTAAGATGTTCTAATGACAGTCTGTTTCAGATAGTGTATTCAATGAATAAGGTCAGTCTTGAGGTCAATATCGAAGTGAACAAGACAACCGGTAAGGGTAATCTGTGTATAGTTTACAGGTAAATTGTAAACCAAAAGTCACTGTGTTCTTTAATCTGATTGGTTGAAAAACGTGATCAAATGGTATTCGATTCCCGGAAATTCGCTGCGTATTAATACATACAAACATCGCTCACACCATTGTATTGTTACGTCGTCAGCTGTGATGACGTCATTAAAATCATATTGTGACGTAAAGTCCAAATGACGTCACAAATGAGCATTTCCAGATGCTACCATGGGAGATAGCCGAAACGGCCTGCTGATGACATTTCTCTGCTGTACCCGTACTCGATGTCAATGAGTGCAGACACAAAAACGTGTGTGGACCTTTTGGTTTACTTTTGTGTTTACAATCTCGATAAACATCTTGTGTTGGCTGACGCCGTCGGTTCCAAATGAATTCCCGTGCTTCAAATACTCAATAACACCCGGAAATAGGCCAACACATGATGTTTATCTCCTAAATGGATAATCTTTTTTGTATATAGGTTTGACAGTAACACTGACTATACTTTTAGCAAATACGATATAAAAAACCTTTACGAAAAACGTTAGCCTTTTATGGAATGTGGCACTCTTGAAGAGCAGCCTGCTCGTGGTGGATGCTGGGTAACGCTAATAGCTCTTCAGACTTGAATTCTGTGATACACTGCTAATGTTTTAGTGTCCTTCATGACATATATTTATCATATATACTAACATTGTTCTCGTCACGATATGTCAGTGCCGCCTTCTTTATTATTTTTCAACTTAGCGCATGCCCTAATCATGTCTTCATCCGTGAATCGGCCATTGATATGGTTCATGCTCATATCGGTCATACAGTTGAGTAAATCTTTAAATTCCTCATCTTCTGAGTTGAGACTAAGCAAAGACTGAGGGTAAATTTGTGTTTTCTTTGTCTTTGCTTTATTATTTTAATGTTTTCCAGTAGTAATTGGCGTCTGTATTTCGCAATTCTGACAGTATATTTTCTGTTTTAAAATATCAAGTCCAGCATGCTTAATAAACACCTTCTTGTATGCTCCACTCGCCTCTTTCTAACCTTTGTTTGTTCCCGACTGGAGGTCGAATTATTTGACCCTCTGTACCTTGCATAAGGTAGAATCTGCCGTATCAGATAATAGAGATGCTTGGTTAGCTTGCGTAGATGTTTTAATTTACATGCTGTTTTAAAGAAGTTCAATTGTGACCTGTCATTGACATCACGTGATTGCCTGGTATGAGTGAGCGAGGGAGATAATATACTGGAGAAAAATAGTAAGGGATATATGTAAATTTTGAAATTATGAATAATGATCTATTTTTCATTGACACACTGATAAAATATCAATCTTAAAAATACAAAATACAATATTTCAGTCATATCGTGACGACGAAACGTTATGTACTTAGAATAAATATATTTAGACTTATTTAAAAAATCAGCCGCTGGTGTCTGTAGGAGTGAGTTAATATTTAACGTCACATCGGCAATATTTCAGCCATATCGTGACGAGAACAATTTTAAAAAACGGGCTATAGATCACCAGCAACTGAAGGCTGATCACCATATAAGAGACCATGGGGACTTACAGTACTTTAGCTACTTGCATGGACCCTAGCTGGATTTATATCAACCCTTCAACAGTTGGCGATTATGGGGTGAGTGTAGGAAAATTTAGTCGAAACTTAAAATAACAAAATACTACGCTACAAAAAATTGGTAAGTTTAAATTTACTTTGAACGTATTATGAGTGAGTGAGTGAGTTAAGAAGCTATTAATTGCCAACAACCGAAGGTAGATCACCATACTAAAGTACTGTCGGAAATAGAAAAAAAATGTTTTTAGGCTGTTATTCTGTATCCCTAAAATTAACAAATTTACAAATAGCATATATCGAAATAACCCATATCGGCCTAACTGGGCATTCAGTGGGATGCGTAATGGTATATCCAGAAAAGCATGTTTACTCGTAAAATCGGGCAAAACTTAGAGAAAATACGAATAGCTGCTCAAAACAATAGATCGGACTGTAAATGGCAATTAAGTCGCTCAGCCAAGTATGACGACGGACCATCGACTCACCTAGCATGAAATGCACGTCCTGCCCTACATAGGTGCTGTCAACGTGCCTGGAATTAATAAACGAATTTAAAAGGTGAGTTTTCGCTGTCTTGGGTGATCCATGATTTTGGCTTGGAATTGCAGAGGTAGCTGTTTTCGGTGAGTCGTGGCGTATAACTTTTGAAATAATGATCCGATTGTGACCATTTATAGCTCATTTTGTAGGGAAATCATCTCGCTTTTGATGCGTAGGCCTCGACGGGGCCTTAAAAATAGTTTACGTGGTGAAATCTAACTTAGATTGAGGAGGGGGTGGTGCCGTCGTTACATCCCTTTCCTTTTATATAGTACTAGGGTAGAGTCTATATACCTATATGTCTTTCTAACGCTGTTTCTAAGCGTGACACGCCCCTGTGACCGAGACTGTAGTTAGGCCGAACTTAGTTTAACAGATATTTCACACTGACACATATCAACTACATTAATTGTAGATATCAATGCTAAAAAACATTTTTTTTTCTATTTCCGACAGTACTTTTAGGGACCACGGGGACTGACAGTACATTTGCTACTTGCATAGACCCTAGTCGGATTTATACCATCCCTTCAGCTGCTAGCAATTGAACGTAAGTCGGATTTATACCATCCCCTCAGCTGCTAGCAATTGAACGTAATGTTAGCCATTTACCTTGTGTAATTATGAAACACATGAAGCTGTCTCACTGGTCTCATTTCTTCCAGTTCATGTTTGTGAATCAGACGATAACAAATCATCAAAATACTTGAACCTTTTGATCAATTTCTTGGCCAAATTATCTTTGTTTCGATTTTGCCAAGCCAAGCATAAAGAAACAGATCCGCAAGAAGGGAAGCACAATTGGTGCCCATGAGAATGCTAAATGCTTGTCTAAATACTTTCCCCCAAATTGTTCGCAGATGATATCAATGAAGAAGTCCAGCATTTCACAACTTCTTTCCTCAGAATGCTCAGTATGACATGCTCTTGATATAGTCTTTTACCTGAGATTTCTTGTGATTATGGATACGGGTTTTATCAAAGTTACTTATTATGTAAAAAGGTCTCTTGCGTGTTGCTGTTTCAACATATTCGACCCAATGTATTTCATTTTGTAATTAGGGCTCCATGCCTCCAGGAAAGGAGACGTATTTTAATCGTTCGGATTATTATTATTATTTATTATACCTCCTAAACCAGTGCTCAGAATCGCTTTTAAAAATCACCAAGGTGCTCACAGTGCTGAAGTCGTTTGCGCCAAACACCCAGGACTCTATGCCCAGTAACAAAAGGCAGATAATTCAAAATTAATTCCAAAAGTTCAAACTTTGACAGCATATATCAAATGGTTCCAAGACTTCCAAATTTCTTGAGCAGAGCAGAATTCCCAACAATTTTGCCTGAACAGGTCAAGTCGGTAAAATGCAGCGTTTGGCAACTATGGCTCTTTCAAGCTTTTAGCTACGTTTTTAACAGTTTTCTGAGTAGTTTGCTCACAAAATGTGCTGGGTTCGAACCGTCAGGTCAAGAGCTTCCAAACTTTTCAGAACTAATGTCCAGTAACCACTATGCAAATTGTGCACAGAAAGTGACAGGATGTGCCTTCGATGGCCGCCATATTGAGTGCTACTTCCGGGCTAAAGTTCTCTTCAAAAACTTTCCAAGACTTCTTCACGATTTTTAAAAGCAAACTTACCAGGTGAAAACTGAAACGAGTTTCAAAGAAACCATTGCGTCTGTATGTGTCTGATAGCTGAGGTCGTGGTCATTTCAGAACACTAATTGTTTTGACTGTAGATCCAAGAACAGCTGAGATACAACCTGTTGAGGAGGGAACTATTTCATCTACGGAACTATATAAAATATACGTGACACCTTGACCTCGGCTCTATTTCCGCTATCCGCTCGCACGTGTTCAGGGTGTGTTTTTTGTTTTTAACATAAGAGGAAACTGAGTTAGCTAAAGGAAGCGTCATGAAAATCTACAAACAATCCCCATTCGCCTGCTTTTCAATGCACTTTCAGTGACAATTCGGCCTTCTGCAGTGTGTGTGTTGAGCATTAAAACTGTTTTTCTTTACTTATAAGTACTAGAATCTCTGAACAGCCGTAATTCCAATTATGCAACTGGATTTTCTGGTTCATTGATCACTTGATTGCCTGGTTTGTTTTCAAGCCGACGTCTAATGGCAGGAAAACAATTGTGCGGCGTCAGACTAAACATATTTCCAGTTTTAGCCACGTTTAATGAATGAGCTATGTCACGGTAGGACAGGACACGTTCACCCCTAAATTTCAGTGATTTATTTTATATTATTTCACAACTATTTTCCATTTACACCAAATGGAAACTATTTGTCAAGATGGTCAAGATTGGATGTTTGACATAAGAAGCATCCTTAAAATGGCTGAAATGTTCCCATAGCTGCATTTCAATGGACGAGGGTCTCGTGTAAAATGAAGCAATGTCCTTGGTATGTTTTGTATGTATTCTTGAAATAAGTCACTGGAAAGGCTTGTTATTATGTTTAAGATAGACTTTGTTTGAATTCCTATAATGTGAACCTTGCACCTTTTCCAGCTAAGGTCATAAAAGGTTCTGTTTTCCTGACTGTTTCAGCAAAAGTTTCCTCCGATTTTAGAGTCATTTTCCAAATATTATTCTTAAATGCAAGAAAATATGCTTTGTAATGAATTGATCTGAACTTCCAATACTTCCTGTTCGGCGATAATTCAATCTTACAGTTATTGAAGGAAGCATTTCCTATTACTGGAAGTGACATGATCCATACAAAATTACCATTTACTATTTTTTAAGAACCAGGTGACAGATGGTATTACTATTTGCTCTGAAACCATAAAATATGATCTCACTGGATTGCCAAGTCAGAATTTTATAATCGACTCTGAGACTTATGGACGTGTACAGTTTTTTCTCTTCTATTCACAGAATTCCTGTATTTCGGAAACCAGAAATTTGACAATGAAGAAGTTCTAAATGAGTTCTTTTGGGGTATAGCCAAAAAGGACCATGGAGCCCTATATCGCTGCTCGCTACAATATTTGTTAACAATTTTTATTGTGTTTCGGAGGTATTCATTGCTCTTGTGTGGTTATTCATTCATGATTTCATAAATATTTCCGTGTTAACCTTCGCGTTTCAACTTTGGATTCAACATGTAACTGCTTTTACAATACTACTGTTAATCATATCTCTGTCTGAGGAATGGGCACAGCACGATAGTGTTCATTATTAACTCACTTTAGTGTTCTACAAACAGATTGACGTCATTTATGATATTTATAGCTATATTTTCTAACGAAATCGATCTATTTTGCAGCAGCGTTACAAGATGGTTAACATCAATTACAAATCTCAAATTAATTTTTCCTTCAGTCGCAGGCGCAGCAGAAGTAGATCAATTACAAAGCAGGCAAGTGGTTATTTTGAGAGTTCCATAATACAAACACACACTATGTTCACTTGAGAGTATTTGTTAAAGCTAGGCAACGCATTATTTGTTTAGTAGGATCAGCTTCCACTTACATTGAACGGATGGTTCTATGGACATACGGCTTCTTTTTACAATCTATTATTCAGTGTAGATGCTATCATCGTTATCAAGTACTTGATGTACTGTAAAGGTAAAGCATTCATCTTAGGCCAGGAGCCAGGAGCTGAAAATTGACAAATTGGTACCACTCAGAGGGACCAAAAGTTTTAGTGTTTTTTATATACCTTTATGTCTCTATATATCAAAAAAGTATGATGGACAACTCAATTTGGTAGCTCAAACTCAGAACGAGGCTAAAATCAAGATGGCTGCCAATTTTTTTCAAAAAATGTTAATTCCAAGCTTTAATCATGAGTAAAGTTCAGCAAATAGGTTGGAAATGAAAAAAGGGAGGTAAATTTGTGCTAACATGATTACAAAGATTTAATTAATATCAAGTTGTGTTACTTGATACCTTTAAATCATATTTTTCCTGGCTTTGTAAGAGTCAAAATTGTTTATGGTGCAGAACAGTGACTATCACTACACATAGGAATAAGGAACTTGAAGGTGCTCTCACTTAATCACTACACAAATTAAGGAACTTGAAGGTGCTCTCACTCTTTGAAATTAAAGAACTGTTTTCAGAATAAACTAAATTATAAGTTTTTGAAATCGTCCTTTCTTCTTACAATTTTGCCTCTTACAAAACCAGGAAAAAATATGATTTTAAGGTATCAAGTAACACAACTTGATATTATTAAATCTTTGTAATCATGTTTGCACCATTTTACCTCCTTTTTCATTTTCAACCTATTTGCTGAACTTTACCCATGATTAAAGCCTGGAATTGACATGTTTTGAAACTTTTGGGGTTTTGGGCGGTCATCTTGAATTTAGCCTCGTTCTGAGTCTGAGCTACCGAACCGTCATGGCCATCATACATTTTTATTATGTAGAGACCATAACCACTCCAAAAAATTGTCTGGCTCATGGTCTATCTTGTTGAGTAAAGTTATATTTATCCAGTTGGCGTACAGTTTGATAATGCTAATGATGTTTACACATTGCAGAATTAACAAGGGAAGATGTGATGTTGAGTTATGTGATGGACAATGAGGATATTGGGATTAAGATTTTTTACCTTGGTCTCAGTTTATGAAATATCACCAACACCTTGAGACAACCAAACATACCCAAAACAATGTGAAAATAGAAGATTACAAATATAGGAAGTATATATAAGTTGTATATCCACACTTATCATAATAAAGTAACATTTCATAAGCTTTCTTTGGTATTTTATAATGACACATAGGCACAACTTTTTACCAGTATTTTACAAATCGACATTGTGCATATATATACAGTGGATATCGGCCACATTCACCATATACAATGGCATTTGGTGTCTGTGGACCAACGTTTAAAAACTTTGCAGTAAGATGGACATTTTCAATTTTATAGAAATTATTATTACCCCAAACTTCAACACCATATAAAAGAATTGGTTGGATTTGTGTATCAAATATCTTAAAGAAAACAGAATAATCGACAATATCTAGTTTATACAGGTGATGAATAACTTCCAATAAAGACCTTTGACCCCTAGATGACAAATCTTGTATACATTTCTTAAATTTACATGAGGACGCAAAGAGAACACCTACATATCTATACGAATCTACTGTTAGAACATTATTTCCCTTATAAACCCATCTTTCGTGCTTCGACAGGCGCCCACCTCTTCTAAAAGCTACAATATTTGTTTTCTCCAAATTTACTGTTAGACCTCACTTATCTGCATATTGTTCTAGAATGTTAAGTTGTCTTTGAAGACCAGATATTACATCGGAGCCTAAAATCACGTCATCAGGAAATAATAATAACAATATCTCGATCATATCAGGGAAGAGCTGAACACCAATTTTCCATTATAAGCAATTTCTAAAGAAAGTTCATTTGTGAAGAGAGAAAATAAAAGCGGACTTAAAATACAACCTTGCCGCAAACCGACTGGACATTCAAAGAAATCAGTGAACATATTATTATTACTTCTAACACAACATTTTACAGATCTCTAGATACTCTGAAGTGCTCGTAACATCTTTCCACTTAATCCAGATGAACATAAACATTCCCAAAGTTTATTACGGTTAATGGAGTCAAACGCCTAAAATCTACAAGGGCTACATAAAGCTTCTTTTTCTTCTTCAATATTTTTTTTGTATCAAAGCATATAAAGTAGATATGGTCCATAGCAGAATGCCCATGTCGAAATCCAGCTTGGGTTTCTGTAAGTATATTAGCCCAGTTAGTCAATCTGTTATTTAGTATACATGCATATATTTTAAATAGAAATATATATATTCAAAGAAGTGAAATTCCTCTGTTATTATCTGGATTATCCTTATTGCCTTTCTAATGTACTGGGAAGAAATTTGCCTTAGTCCTCTGCTCAGGAAATAATGCTGAATCAAACATTCGATTATATATATTTCTTAGAAATGGAGTAATGCGAGTTTCAGAACATTCAAACATTTCGGCAACAATATGATCATGACCAGATGATTTACCATTCTTTATATAGGTGATGGCATCATGAATTTCTACATCAGTAATAGGCGATTCAAGAATGCATTTATCAATTTCACCTAACGATTGATCATCATACACCTTAAAATCTATATTCAAATGGGTATCTATACCATTACACGCATTCTTAAAATGGTTCATCCACATGTCTGGTTCAATGTTTGAAGTACTAATATCTGTACGAGAGAGACTTCTTAATTCCTTCCAAAATCTCGATGACAATGTTGTAGAATTAAAACAAAGGATTACAGGCATATGCTTTGATTCGACTCGACAGTCGACAACTAAGTCATGAGACAGATACAACAAATCAACGCTACTTATGAAGTAGTCCACAACACTACATCCTTGTTCTGATATATAGGTGAAGTCTCCCTTTCTATCACCGGGAGTTCTACCGTTAAACATGTACAAGTTATGCTAAAAACAGAAATCAAAGAGTTTACGACCAAACGTATCCACACAGTTATCACATGACTGTCTTCATTCACCGGTACTGAGGTTTCCTCAGGAAATGCTGCTTCGTCTAGTCCATGCTTTTTAAGTGTCTCTGGTGGGTAATTACCCCCACCTACACGAGCATTTACGTCTCCACATATGATGACGTCACACCCGTGATCTGCGTTATCAATCAGCCACTGATCTATCTGCTCGATAGCAGTCGTCTTGTCAGCTGCCACATAAAATGTTGAGTGAGTGAGTGAGTGAGTTAATATTTAACGTCACATCGGCAATATTTCAACTATATCGTGACGAGAACATTTTACAATGAAATGGAATATGTGTATATTATAAAACCTGTCATCGAAGGACATTAAAACAACTAGAATATCACAATTAGATTTAAAACTAGTGTGGAAGGTTAAAACTAATAGCATAAAATGTTGAGCCAATGGGTCGAACATAGGTAGCATAAGTAAGTATATCTTTATCATTACCGATGCTGGTTTTGTCTAACTTTATGCAGACAACATTATCTATATCAGCTGTAATCTGTTGGCTATTGTAGGACAGAGTGTGTTTTAGTAAGACAATCACTCCACCAGATAATCTTCCAGCCTTAGCTAGCCAGATTTGCCTGTGGACGACCCTGCAGCTATAGAGGGTGGCAGGTCTGTGCACGACCCTGCAGCTACAGATGGGGCGGTTCTGTGCACGACCCTGCAGCTATGGGTGGGGACGGGTCTCCAGTCCGGTGTCTGGACTGTGGGATGGGAGTGGAGTTGACCGAACTTCCCGGTCTAGGCATACCTTCTTGTCTTGTCCACTCGTGTCCGAAGTACCTGGTCTTGAAATCAGCTTGCCATTCTTATAATAAGCGATAAGCCATTTACTTTTCAAATCGGCCAAAGTCACTCTTTGCTGTTTGGTTACATCGTTTGCTACACCAATGTTACCGTTTTTGAGGTCGTTGCGGTGTTTTAGGACTGATATTTTCTGCTCGGTCAGAGCAAATCTAACTAGGAGAGGACGAGGTTTATCCTGGGATGATTGTTTATTGCCAATACGACGAGCACGCACAATATCTGACTTCAACCAATGTTTGAACTCATTTAGGACAAAAACAACTATATCTTTGCAAGCATCGAAGGATTCATCTGCTGTTCTGATACACCGTAGAATATAATATTGTCTCGACGACTAAAAACTTCCTGTCTGTCAATATCTGATTCGTGTTTCAAAACCTTAGTTTCAATGTCATCTAGTTTCTCGGCTAGTGCGTCCAAGTCGCTATACAAAGTAATTAGCTCTTGGCTTATTCTCTCTATATCATTTCTTATATCCGACATTGAAGATTCCAGAGAGGAACATTTGCTACCCAGATCATTGAGTTTAGTCTTTATTTCACTCATCTCCGAATATAAAGTCTTTCAATTTAGAGAGAACGTCTGATTTTAGTTCACGGGTTTCAGAGCGTTTAGATCTTTCATAGTTACCGGGCCAGGGTAAGTCTCAACATCGTTTGAGAGCACTAACTGTAATCTAGTTACATGTTCAGGTCTGTTGTCACAAAAAATCAGTGACCCACCATCTGCAATACCAGTATGTCGATTCGCTCCAGTGAACATGAAGCAATGGCATGTGACGTCAGTGATCAAAACACAATCATTTTGACGAGGAATGAACTGCTCTAAGCTAGGTAGGTTTCTGGTAAATCAGTTTGCATGTATCAAAACCATTGCTGAGAGCAACAAATGCATAGTGAGTAGTACAGAGCACACGGAGAGTCGTAGCGGCATGTCTGAGGTGTGCGTGTGGGGTGTATAGCCCGTGTCCGTGCAGACATGGCTCACCTGTCGTGTCCCGGGTGGGTGGACAAACTTGCCGATTCTAGCTCTATGAGTGGCTAGATCGATCATGTTAGCTGCTTGTGATGTTCCAGGAGTATATGCTAAGTTCATGTACTTCGTATTCTTTCATCCGTCATTGACTTCATAATAAATTTCTGCAATATTTTCTCAGCTCGTTCACTTACATGTCAGTCCTAAGGGACGCCACTATATGTCACTGAAATTTAGTGTTATACGTAAAGGGAGGGGCCCTTGTTGGAGAATCTTGTCTTGCAAGGTGAAGTAAGCTGAACGGATGCAGGTATTGATACTGCCAGTCGGGAGGTGGGTGGCTTAGGTGTAGTGGATTTCTTCTACTCTTCTTCTGATCATGGCTAGGGCTTCTTCGCTGGGACTGTTTGTGAAGAGGTCAACTACATCA